GGCTCAGACCCATGGGTTCCCTTGCTTTACCTGGGCCACGTCACCCACATCATGGGCTGTTGAAGGCTCCTTTAGTGACAATGTGTGACAGCTGTTGATAGGACGAGGCCTCTGGGGGGTGCAGTCCCACAAGGTGGGCCAGGTCCATGTGTGATGTTCTCCCAGAGCTGAGACACACAGGCCCAGGGCGGTTCCCTACAGCACGGCCCCCATGATGCGTCAGCTAAGCCTGTGCTCCCCACGTCAGCACGTCTGGGTTTTGCTGGTGCTGAGTTCGTGCAGAGTATTCAGGTCACACACAGGCTTCCTCTGAAGGGGACACCTGGACGGCCATGGGCCTGGGGGTCCTCATGCCCCCAGAGCAGTAGACCTGCTGGGGCAGTGGGCTCAGGTGGCCAGGGAGAGTCAGGATGGCTCCTTCACGAGAGCAGCGGGAGGAGGCTGAGCCTGGAGTCTCCCCAAGACCACCTGGCAGCCAACATTCATGGATGACATTTTGTTGCTTTTTTGTTTTGTTATTATTATTATTTTTTGAGACGGAGTCTCACTCTGTTGCCCAGACTGGAGCGCAGTGGTGTGATCTCGGCTCACTGCAACCTCCGCCTCCTGGATTCAGGTGATTCTCCTGCCTCAGTCTCCCGAGTAGCTGGGATTACAGCCACCTGCCACCACGCCCGGCTCACGTTTGTATTTTTAGTAGAGATGAGGTTTCGCCATGTTGGCCAGGATGGTCTCAAACTTCTGACCTCAGGTGATCCTCCCACCTCAGCCTCCCAAAGTCCTGGGATTACAAGCGTGAGCTGCCACGCCTGGCCGTGGACGGCACTTTGGAACAACCCCAGAGAATACAACGAATGACGGCTCAGCCCCTTTGAGAACACAGTGGCTATGGAGCCATGGAAAGGACACCATGCCATGCACAGGCGGCGGCGGGCTGTGGCAGCCACGCACGTTTTCTCCCCCCACTTCCCCTCCCTGGGCCCTTCCCTGCTGTTTTACATGGGGCATGGTCAGCATTTAATTTATTTACTTGTATATTTATTTTATTTTTCCATAAGTTATTGGGGTACACGTGGTATTTGGTTACAGGAGCGAGTTCTTTTTTTTTTCCCAAGACAGAGTCTCGCTCTGTAGCCCAGGCTGGAGTGCAGTGGCACGATCTCCACTCACTGCACGCTCCGCCTCCCGGGTTCACACCATTCTCCTGCCTCGGCCTCCTGAGTAGCTGGGACTACAGGCGCTGCCACCACGCCCGGCTAATGCTTTGTATTTTTAGTAGAGATGGGGTTTCACCGTGTTAGCCAGGATGGTCTCGATCTCCTGACCTTGTGATCCACCCACCTCGGCCTCCCAAAGTGCTGGGATTACAGGCGTGAGCCACCAGCCCGGCCAGGAGCGAGTTCTTTAGTGCGGATTTGCGAGATCCTCGTGCACTCATCACCTGAGCAGTACACACTGTGCCATATTTGTTGTCTTTTATCCCTCGCCCCTCCCACTCTTCCTCTCGAGTCCCCAAAATCCACTGTATCATTCTTACGCCTTTGCCTCCGCATAGCTTAGCTCCCAAATATCAGTGAGAATATACGATGTTTGGTTTTCTGTGGTCAGCTTTTAAACTCAGTATCTGATTTACAGGATGGCAAGAGAGGACCAGCGTTGACCTAGAAAAGCAGTTCGCCTGGCCGACTCCCGGGCCTCTGTTTCCCCCTTGCGGGGGGATGGCGGGTGGGCCTCACGGGAGAGCCGTCGCCGGGAGGCAGCAGCCGGCTGGCCTGGTGGGAGTCTTCACTCTGCAGCAGGGTGGGCGTGGCCAGTGACCAGAGTGGGCGTGGCCAGTGACCAGGGGCGTGGCCAGTGACCGGGAGCGTGGCCAGTGACCAGGGTGGGCGTGGCCAGTGACCCGGGGGCATGGCCAGCGACCAGTGTGGGCATGGCCAGTGACCAGGGTGGGCGTGCCAGTGATCGGGGGGCGTGGCCAGTGACCAGGGATAGGCCGTGCTGGCCCGTTTGCTGGGCCTGTTTGTCACCACCCTGCACACCCCCACCCTCATGTGCTTTCCTCCCACGGCGCAGGAGAAGCTTGGACTACACCACCTGGGATGTCTTTCCTGAGTGGTTCTGGGTCAGGCTCTGCCCGTGGCATCCAGGAGCCCCAAGCGTGGTGGCAGCGTCTTCTGAACCTGTGCCTGGTGCTGCACAAAGCAGGGGCTGGGCAGCAACTCCCCTGCCTGTCCCGTCCAGAGCCCACCGTCCCAGGTCTCCCGAAAGCCTCTCAACCTCCTTGCTCCCTACGGATCCAACGGTTGAGTTCCGTGAGGAAGTGGAGAAGGAATCAGAAGACTGAGGAGTGCGGAGGGTTGGGTGGAGCTCAGCCATGACCAGCTCACCCACCCGAGTCTCCCAGGAGACAGTCACTCCACGGCCCAGCCTTGTGATTTGCTGCACAAACAGTGCAAAAAAGAAAAACCACCTGTTAATGTCAATAGATGCAGATAAATATTTGATAAAATCCAACAGTATTTTAACATAAAACTCTTACCAAACTAGGAATCAAATAAATTTTTTAACTTTACAAAAGGAATATGCCAAAAAAAAAAAAAAAGTAAAGTACAGCAACCATCACAATTACGCATTTTTAAATAAAATCAGGAATGAGACAACTCATCCTCACTGCCTCTAACCTACGAAGAACTTGGGGACCCACTCAAAACCAGACAAGAAAAAGCAACAATGGGCCGGGTGCAGCGGCTCACACCTGTAATCCCAGCACTTTGGGAGGCCGAGGCAGGTGGATCATGAGGTCAGGAGTTTGAGACCAGCCTGGCCAACATGGCAAAACCACGTCTCTACTAAAAATACAAAAATCAGCTGGGCTTGGTGGCGGGCGCCTGTAGCCCCAGTTACTCGGGAGGGTGAGGCAGGAGAATTGCTTGAACCCGGGAGGTGGAGGTTGCAGTGAGCCAAGATTGCACCACTGCACTCCAGCATGGTAGACAGAATGAGACTGTGTCTCAAAATAAATAAAATAAGGCCAGGTGCAGTGGCTCATGCCTGTAATCCCAGCACTTTGGGAGGTAGGTGGATCATGAGGTCAGGAGATTGAGACCAACCTGGCTAACACGGTGAAACCCCATCTCTACTAAAAATACAAAAAAAAAAAAAAAAAAAAAATTTAACCGGGCATGTTGGCAGGCACCTGTAGTCCCAGCTACTCGGGAGGCTGAGGCGGGAGAATAGCGTGAACCTGGGAGGCGGAGCTTGCAGTGAGCCAAGATCACGCCACTGCACTCCCGTCTGGGGGACAGAGTGAGACTCCATCTCAAAAATAATAAATAAAAAAAAAATAAATAAAAATTTAAAAATAAACTATGGATATTAAAAATTGGAAACAAAGAAACTAAACTATGTATTGATGAAATGATTACTTACAAAAAATATTGCAATCCACAAATTATGAGAATTAAAATAGTTTAACAAGATGCTCCAATATAGAAATCAACATTCGAGAGTCATTCACAGTTTTCTATATAGGCATCAAAAACAGATGTTAAAACTCAAACCCCAAAATAAAAAATACTTAGGAATAAACCTAACAAACTACATCTAAGATCTGTGAGCAGAAAATTACTAAAGTTTAATGAAAGACTTCAAAGAAGACCAGAGAGAGAGACAGAGAGACAGAGAGAGAGAGTGAGAGAGCGAGAGTGTGAGAGAGAGTGAGAGAGAATGAGAGAGACAGAGTGAGCGAGAGAGAGAAAGAGAGAGTGAGAGAGAGAGTGAGAGTGTGAGGGAGAGAGAGTGAGAGAGAATGAGAGAGACAGAGAGAGCGAGAGAGAGAAAGAGACAGAAAGAGAAAGAGAGCGAGAGAACGAGAGAAAGAGCGTGAGAGAACGAGAGAGAGTGAGAACGAGAGAGTGAGCGAGAGAGAACGAGAGTGAAAGAGAGACAGAGAGTGAGAGAGAGAGAGCGAGAGTGAGAGAACAAGAGTAAGAGAGAGACAGAGACAGAGAGAGTGAGAGAGACAGACAGAGACAGCGAGTGAGAGACAGAGAGAGAGCGAGAGAGAACGAGAGAATGAGAGAACGAGAAACGAGAGAGACAATGAAAGAATGAGAGAGAGAGAGAACGAGAGTGAGCCAGAGAGAACGAGACAGTGAGAGAGTGAGCAAGAGAGAGAGAACGAGAGAGAGAGAGAGACAGAAAGCACGAGAGAACAAGAGGGAGCGAGAGAACAAGAGAGAGTGAGAGAGAGACAGAGAGAGAGAGTGAGAGAGACAAAGAGTGAGAGAGACAAAGAGAGCGAGAGAATGACAGAGAGTGCGTGCGAGAGACAGAGAACGAGAGAGACAGAGAGAGAGAGACATAGGGCAAGAGAACGAGAGAGAGTGAGAGCGAGCGAGAGAGAGAGGATGGTGTGTTGGAGTCAATGTTATAACAGTATCATTCCTTGCCTCTGTAATATCTGTGTACAATGCAACTCTTGTCTAAATTTCGCCAGCATTGTTTGCAGAGGCAGGGAAAGGGGGCTGATAAGCAGGCAGAAAAGGGCCACAAAGATAAAGTAGCCAAAGCTCCAGGAGCTCCGAGTGCTGTGGTGACAGCAGGGCAGCGTGGGTGGACGGCCAGGGCTGGGGCTGGGTAGAAAGTTGTTATTCTGAAATCACATCCGCCTTTTCTCCTGTCTTATTCTCAGTGAGTCCCTAACCCAGGCAAGGAAGAGAAGGGCTGTTTGTGGTGGCTCACACCTGTAATCCCAGCACTTTGTGAGGCCCGGGTGGGAGGATCGCTTGAGCCCAGGAGTTCGAGACCAGCCTGGACAACATAGTGAGACTCCGTCTCTAAAAAATAAATAAATAAATAAAAATTAGCTGGGCGTGGTGGCACGAGCCTGTGGTCCCAGCTACTCAGGAGGCTGAGGTGGGAGGATGGTTTGAGCCTGGGAGGTCAAGGCTGCAGTGAGCCATGATCGTGCCGCTGCACTCCAGCCTGGGTGATGGAGCAAGACCGTGTCTCAAAACAAACCAAAAAAACCCCACACAAAACCATGCTGTGTAGTGTTGATGGTCACACGTGTGCTGTGAGGTCTACAAACGTGCCCTAGACTGACACTCCAGATGCGGAATCGGCCCCAGGAGGGAGAGCGATGACACCAGAGGGCACCCGGGCGCTTTGGGTGGATTGGACAGGTTGAATCCACTTAAAATCACGGCACAGACACAGCCAAATGCCAAGGAGTCTTAGAGCTGGGAGGGGCCGATGGTACTTATCACATCATTCTCTGTGCTTTTCCGTATGTTAGAAACATCCCATAACAAAACAGTGCAGGGAAGAGGAAGGCCAGTCTGCGCTGTGCTGATTCAGCAACAAGCAACTCAGCAGCGAAACGAAACCCTGGCTGGAGGCACTGGCCGGTTTCCGTGGCGTAAACATTCCCACCACGGCGACGCCTGAGCCACCCACCTGAGGGGGCCGACGGAGCAGACACACAGGACCGGCCTCCAGTGCACACCCACGAAGGACACACAGCACCGGCCCCCAGCTGTCAGGGGCCGGCCCCCAGCGCACGTCGCGAAGGACACACAGCACGCCTCCCTGAGCTGTAGCCAGCAGGCAAGGGTCACGTCTCTACAATCAGGGAGAAGAACAGAGAGGCTGCCGTGGGAACCCAGCGGGCATCCGGCTCACTGGCACACCCGGGAGCTCGTGTGGAGCAGCGCCGGGCACACACAGGCCACCCCCGCCCTCCCACTCACGTTTATGTCTGGAAGGCAGAGAACGGACCAGCAGGGCAGCGGGCAGGTGGTGAAGGATGCACCTGTGGTGATGGCTCAGACAGGAACTGGAGGGGCAGGCCCTGCCGCTTCTGTGGCCAGGGTCTCCCCAGTCTCCGCCACTCCGGCTGCCACAGCAAAACACCCCAGGTGGCGGCTTCAAGCGACCGACATTTGGCTCACAGCTCTGGAGGCTGTGAGTCCAACCGGCCCCAGCAGACTGTGGTTCACAGCCAGCGCCTCCTGGCCATGTCCACACGTGATGGAGGGTGCTCTCTGAGGTCCCTTTTGTCTGGGTACTAAGCCGTCCACGAGGATGGTCTGACCCTCATGGCCGGACCCCCCCAAAGGCCTCTCCTCCCAACAGCATCACCTTGGAGTGAAGGTTTCCACAGAAGAATTTCCGGGGACAGACATTTGGGCCACGGTGACCTCTCTGGGGGCCCCTCAGTGTGAGAAGGACGGAGAGGAGGAGCCGGCTCCGCAGGCTGCAGACTCCCATGAGATGCAGAGAGGTGATGTTCACACAGTGGACTAGAGGAGAGGGGGGCCTTGGATGGGGGATCTTGGATGGGGGTCTTGGATGGGGGGTCTTGGATGGGGGTCTTGGATAAGGGGCTCTTGGATGGGGGGTCTTGGATGAGGCATGTAGACACATTTTTTGAGACAATTTGCTACGAATAGAAGAAAATTAGGGAGTTGCTAGAGGGGCTCCATGTTCCAGGAGCCACTGGGACAGGCAAGAGGGGGTGGGACAGACATTCACTTAAAATGGTGTGAGCCCTGGGAGGGGAGCTGGCAAGAGTTGGGATTGGGGGGTCCAGGTGTGAGCCTTGGGAGGGGCAGCGGCAAGGGTGGGGGGCCAGGTGTGAAGCCTGGGAGGGGAGTTGGCAGGGGTGGGGGCCAGGCGTGAGGCCTGGGAGGGGAGCAGTGGGGGTGGGAGTGGGGGGCCAGGCGTGAGGCCTGGGAGGGGAGTTGGGGGGGGTGGGGATGGGAGTGGGGGGGCCAGGTATGAGGCCTGGGAGGGCAGTCGGTGGGGGTGGGAGTGGGGGAGCCGGGTGTGAGGCCTGGGAGGGGAGACGGTGGAGGCCGGAGTGTTTACCATCCACCTTGCGGGGGCGTCAGGAACAACCTGCTGCTTCTCAGGGGGCAGGGAGGCATGAGGTTGGAGATCAGACCTCATGTCACCCTGAGGGTGTTCCCGGTAATTACAAATTACATTCGTAGCAGATCAGTAGACAGAGAATATTTAAATAGAACATAATTAGTAAGCCCAGAACAACGGTAAAACACAGAAATACTAATGAAAACAAACACATCTGCATAATCCAGTGAGGCCCAGCTTCTAGGAGAGACCCGGCCCAGCTTCCGCGATGGACCCGCCCAGCTTCCGCGAGGGACCCGCCCAGCTTCTATGAGACACCTGTTGCCGTTCGCAAGTCCGAGGTAATTCAACCTTCTAAAGTCAAGGTCAGGGTGATTCTTCCAGGATAATGAGAACATCAACACCCTTTGACTCAGGATTATAATTTCTGGGCCAAATTTTAAGGAAACAATCCCAAAGGAGAAACAATTGTTTTCTCCTTTCCATGTTAGAGTGCTCTAAGAGTCAGTGTTACTGGCTGGGGTGCGGTGGCTCACACCTGTAATCCCAGCACTTTGGGAGGCCGAGGTGGGCGGATCACCTGAGGTCAGGAGTTTGAGACCAGCCTGGCCAACATGGCAAAACCCCTTATCCACTATAAGTTAAAAAAAAATTAGCTGTGTGTGTTGGCGTGCACCTGTAGTCCCAGCTACTTGGGAGGCTGAGCTGGGAGAATGGCTTGAACCAGGGAGGCAGAGAGTGCAGTGAGCTGAGATCGGGCCACTGCACTCCAGCCTGGGCAACAGAGCAAGACTCTATCTCAAAAAAAAAAAAAAAAAAAGAAAGAAAGAAAAAATGAGAGTAAACATGATTGGAAATCACTCAAGTGTCCACAGTGAAAGAATTGTTGAGCAGATGATGGTACATTCACTTAAAATCCTACGCCATTGGGGATATATTGTCACAATGCCGAGGGGAAAATGAACAATTTCAGTGGCCAGCATTTTACGATCCTCACCGTGGGTCAGGAGTGCTCCACGTTTAACTCATTTAACCTTCACAAAGGTCCGAGGAGTAGCTTTGATCGTGTCCCCACCTTTATGAATCAGGAAATGAAGTCTTGTGCCCACAGTCACACAGCCCGTGAGCAGGAGATCCCAGGCCCCACCCTCCCCAGCCTCTTACGGCTCCAGCCTTGTGGCCACTGTCTTCCACCCGGTGGGAAGGCTCAAGAATGGAGAACTCTTCAGAAAACCGTTTCCTGGGCAGAGAAGGGCGGGCTGGAGGGAGAGGAGCCCAGGGGAGTTGATGAAGGCCACACGTCTGGGGTGTCGCTGCCCGGTTTGCACCTGGTCCTATCAGTGGGGCGGGCACCAGAGGGTTTGAGCCTGACCAGTCAGGTGGGCCTAGCTGGGTGGTGTCCTCTGCTGTGGGGGCCTCCATGTGGGAGGAAAAATTCCCAGGGCCAAAAAGGAGTGTCGTCCCAGAGCACGGCTCCCAGGTGCCAACCCCGGGGAAAGCGGAGGAGGCATGGGGAGAGGGTTGGGCAGCAGCACAGAGAGAGTTGTCAGAGCCAGGGCAGGGGTGGCCTCACCCTCCCAGGTCAGCCTCGCTGCCTGCCGGGGGTCAGGGTGCCAGGGCCTCTCCTAGAGCCCCGATGGGACCTGCAGCAGTCAGATTCTCCGAGGCAGAGGAGCCGGGTCCAGGACCCTCTCATTCTGCAGGGCTCTGCGGAGCGTGGGGCAGGTGGGGGAGGGCAGCAGGACCCTCAGAAGTGGACGGACTCGGGCTGGACTCGTAAGACGTGGCCGCATGCAGGCTGAAGCCAGCTGTGCTCTGGGAACGGCTGGGGAAAGGGACCGCGTCCCCCAGGGCCATCGTCCCCTCTGTCGGGGGCTTGGACGGCCTGAGAAGAGGGAAGGGAGGAGTCATCCAGCAGGACCAGGGCGGGCGCAGGCAGCGTCTGAGACCTTGCCTGTGTGCGTTGCTCTCCATGCAGTAACGTGGCTGGAAAACCAGAGCCCTCGCCAGGAACGAGTGAGGCTTGACAGACGGCACACCTCCCTCCGCGGGGAACCAGCCCTGAGATGGCGCAGGAGCAAATCTACCCACCAGACCTCAGGCTGGCCGCCGCACAGGAGGGGCTGGGTCGGCTGAGACGTCTCAGGGGGACGCTCGAGTCCCCGGAAGGTTCCGGTCCAGAGGCCCAGTGGAGGGACACACAGACCCACTCCGGAGAGCACCGGATTTGGGTCAGAGCCTGGGCCATCTGCAGCCCCGAAGTCCACAACCCGGGGTCTCCAAGCCCCCCCAGCACTGGCTGGCGGCTCCAGACAGCGGCTTTTCTTCCTGAGGGATGTCCACCCAGCCCCCTGGCCTGCAGGGCGGAGCCACAGCGCAGGGCTCCCAGGCCCGGCAGGGAGGACAAACGGACAGAGGCCAAGTCAAGACTGGTGTCTCCTGAGCAGACGGAGCAGGTGGGGCCTCAGGCCTCCAGGGCGGCAGGAGTCATCGGTCTGTTGTCCTCAAGCTGAGTGGCCCTCATTGAAATTCTAACGGCAACTCGGCCACAGGCAGGGCTTCTCCGGGGCGTGCCCTCCCTGCCTGCCTGGTGCTCCTGAGAGCCCAGACCCAGGTCACAAGGTCATGAGGCCGCAGGCAGAGGCCGTCCCTGGAGAGCTTGGGGTGGGCGGCCTGCATGGCCTTCCTGAGGACCACATGCCCCTCCCCCAGACGCTGGACAGACGCGCTTCCCCTGGGGAACTGGGATTTCCTTGGGTTCTCCGTCCCCACATGGCTTTGCCGTATATGATAAAGCATGTCCTTCGCCACCAGCTAGTGCTTTCTGTGAGTGATTTAATCTCCCCTCCCGGGTGCAAGGATGCAGCCCTCCCCAAGCACCCCACAGGTGGCCGCGTCCATACACCCACGACTGGGGTCGGCTGCCCAGCCTGATCCACATGCAGGACCCAGCTTGGCCCCCTGTGCTCACTTCAGGGTCTTGCTTTTCATTTCGTTCAAGAGGTGGGTAGGGAAGAGGAGGCTGGGGTTGGTCCCTCCACCACCCCCAGTGTCTGAGGACCAGAGAGGGGCCCTGGGAGACTGAGGGAGGGTGACATGGAAGCGGGTGTGGTTTGCAGAACGTCGCTTCTGCCGGCTGGGGCAAGGACTTGGAGTTTTATTCCAAAGGAACTTCCAACTAATCATTAGCCGGAAACACAGAGCCTGGGCCATGGACCCCTGCTTGGTCCCCAGCGTTGTTTGGAAGTGGAGGTGAGGGTGGGGGAAAGTCACGATCATTCCTGGCTCTCTTTCTACTAAAGCAATGGGTGGCTGGTGGTTCCATTTACAGAGTCTGGGGCCCTGGGGGTCGATGGGGTTGAAGACCCCGCGTGGGAAGTGAACCACAGACCTGAGTGACTGTGACCATGCTCCTGACAGCGGCATCTGGAGTGTAACATGCCAGGTATCGTCCCCGCACTTACACGGATTGTTCATGAATCCTGCTCTGCAAGCTTCTCCCTCCTATTCCAGGGAATCTCCTCAAATGAGGCCCTTCCTATAACTAAGGAGGGTTAACCAGACCCCTGAGGAGGCCGCAAGACCCCCGGAGAGGCCACAAGACCCCTGAGGAGGCCAGGAACTCAGAAGAGAAAGGGGGTGCCAGTTGAGCACGGAAAACTCAGCAAAGATGTATTTCAAAACCAGGAACTGTCTCTTTGCTGTGAGGCTGGGTGTCAGTGGGGTCCTCCGGGCCCGCTGAGTCAGCAGTTTCATCGTATGCAGGACCTGAAGGAATATTTTATTTTGTTTTGTTTTGTTTTATTTTATTTTACTTTACTTTATTTTAGTTTACTTTATTTTACTTTATTTTATTTTACTTTATTTTACTTTGTTTTACTTTGTTTTGTTTTGTTTTGTTTTATTTTTAGACGGAGTCTCACTCTGTCACCCAGGCTGGAGTGCAGTGGTGCGATCTTGGCTCACCACAGCCTCCACCTTCCAGGTTCATGCAATTCTCCTGTCTCAGCCTCCTGAGTAGCTGGGATTACAGGCGCCCGCCACCGCACCCAGCTAATGTTTGTATTTTTAGTAGAGATGGGTGGTTTTGGCCAGGCTGGTCTCAAACTCCTGACCTCAAGTGATCCACCTGTCTCAGCCTCCCAAAGTGCTGGGATGACAGGCGTGAGCCACCGCGCCCAGTCCGTACCCACCTTCTGAACCGAATGAAAACCAAGACACAGCTGCCATCCCATGAGGCCAAGCCGGGTCCTGCATGTGTATCGGCTGGGTGGCCGCCCCGGTTCTGGGCACACATGCAAGTGATCAGTGACGTGCTGTACACTGACAGAACCACGGACGAACGTCACGTTTGTTCCATCCTGGCGGACACGGAAAGGCACTGGACAAAGCCCATCACCCACTTGTGATAAAAATTCTCCCACTAGGGCCGGGAGCAACTTCTTCAACCTGAGAAAGGGCAGCTCCACGTACACTGACTTCTTCACGCATCAAATTGTGTGCATCACTGTGGACTCGCGGCTTTTTATTCTGAGGGTTACAATCCAGTAAACTGTCACCCAGCCCTGGGGTCTTTCATCTTGACTCCCAGGTCCCCTCCCGACAAGCCCTGCTCCCGTTCATGCATTTCCTCACGTACCGGGACTGTGAGTGCTCCAGGCTCAGCCTGACTTTCCCTGCCCCGGCCTTGGCAGCAGCCGAGACCCCGAGGCCTGCAGGGTTGTCTCACTGGAGGGGATGTCGGGGACTGAGACCTGCAACCTGTGCTTCCTTTGGCACTGGGGCCTCCTGGTGTCTAGGCCCTCTTGGAGAAAGAGCCAGAAGATGCATGCCTGTGTACTAACCCCCACACACAAACACATCCACATGTGTGTAGACCGACGGCGTGGGCTCATGCTGGTGCCACCCACCCTAGGGCACGCATTCATCCTCGCCCACCCCAGCACACATCCACGGGCCCCTCCTTGCACACCCCAGGGGCATGGGCCCCCTCCTCACCCACCCCAGGGCATGTGCCCCATCCTTACTACAGGGCACGTGCCCCATCCTCATCCACCCCAGGGCATGTGCCCCATCCTCACCCACCCCAGGGCACACATCCATCTGCACACACCCCAGTGGCATGGGCCCTGTCCTCGCAAACCCCAGCAGCATACGCCCTGTCCGCACCCACCCCAAGGCACATGCCCCGTCCTCACCCACCCCAGGGCACACATCCATCCTCACCCACCCCAGCGGCATGCGCCCTTCCTCACCCACCCCAGCAGCACGCGCCCTGTCCTCACCCACCCCAGCGACACGGGCCCCTCCTCGCCCACCCCAGCAGCAAGGGCCTGTTCTCGTCCACCGCTTCACCTGCTGCATCTCTTGTCGGAAGAAACCTGGCTTTCCCACATTCACCTGCTTGTCTAGTCCCAGCTGCGGGTGAACTGGCTCCAGACTTGCTGGCGCATCCCTGCAAGGGACAGACCCACCACCCAGAGCCTGGCATCCGGGCACAGTGTGTCTTGTCTTTAGCTTCACTGTCAGCGTCCCGTCAACACTGTCCCCGCGGTAACTTCAGGTGTTCCTTTACTTCTCGGCTTCCTTCAGTGTGATTGTGTCATTCCTCTGCAATATGGTTACATTCATCCATTCGGTGGGTGTGGTTAACCCTTGAACAATGCAGGCTGAGGGGCAGTGATGCTTGCACAGAGAAAACCCACACAGAACTTTTTTTTGACAGGGTCTTACTCTGTCACCCAGGCTGGAGTATAATGGTGCAATCTCAGCTCACTGCAGCCTCGAAATCCTGGGCCCAAGGGATCCTTCCTCCTCAGTCTCCCAAGTAGCTGGGACCACAGGTGCACGCCACCACACCGGCTAATGGTGTTTTGTAGAGATGGGGTCTCCTTACATTGCCCCGGCTGGTCTTGAACTCCTGGGCTTAAGCGGTCCTCCTGCCCTGGCCTCCAAAAGTGCTGGGATTACAGGCATGAGCCACTGCGCCTGGCCTGATTCCCAAAAACTTAACTATCAGTAGCTTATTGTTGACCAGAAGCCTTCCCAATAACATAAACAGTTGATAAACAGATATTTTGTATGTTATATATGTTACATACTGTATTCTTACGATCAAGTAAGCTGGAAAAAAGAACATGTTATTAAAAAACTCATTAGGAAGATAAAATATATTCACTAAGTGAAGTGGATCATCATCAATGCCCTCATCCGCGTCGGCTTCACATTGAGTGGGCTGAGGAGGAGGAGCAGGGGCTGGTCTTGCTGTCTCAGGGGTGGCAGAGGCAGAACAAAGTCTTTGTCCAAATGGCTACTAGGTTATTAGCCAGCGCCATTTATTCAAAATTCCAGCCTTGCCTCTGTGACTTGTGCAGCTACCCGTGTCCTGGGGTCTCCTGTCTGCACGCCTGGGGCGTCTGTACCTGCAGCCACTCGTGTCCTGGGGTCTCCTGTCTGCACGCCTGGGGCGTCTGTACCTGCAGCCACTCGTGTCCTGGGGTCTCCTGTCTGCACGCCTGGGGCGTCTGCACCTGCAGCCACTCGTGTCCTGGGGTCTCCTGTCTGCACGCCTGGGGCGTCTGTACCTGCAGCCACTCGTGTCCTGGGGTCTCCTGTCTGCACGCCTGGGGCGTCTGTACCTGCAGCCACTCGTGTCCTGGGGTCTCCTGTCTGCATACCTGGGGCGTCTGCACCTGCACCAGCCACAGTTTCTGCTTTGAGGTTTCAGAGGGTTCTGTCTGCTAGTGTGTTCCCAGCTCTTCTTACCAGAGTGCTTTCCTGTAAGAACTTTGCTATCAACCTGTCTAACTCCATAAAACTGCAAAAAAGGTATGGGGACCTTTGTGGCATTGCACTGACCTTGCCCGATGCTTGGCCCCGCGTGCATCTGCTCGGGACCACTCATGCCTCCTTCAGGGGTCTTAAGGTTTTCCCTAGACACGTTTCAGCATTTCTGAAAACGGTGGCCCACTGACACCACCGGGGTTTTCTTCTGAGCAGCTGCTGACAATTTTGCAAAATCTAATGCTGGCACTTCAGAAAAAATCTGACTGAAAGGTGTTAAGCCATGCTCCAGCCGGGGGCAGGACTCATGTTCCTTCTCCAAATCGTCCTGAAATGGCATTTTGCAAGACGCCTGCCGAGGGCCGCTGCCATCCAGCCTGGCCCAGGGAGGAGCCGTCCGATGGGAACTGCCGACCGTGCCAGTGTGAGCTGTCCCAGGCAGTGCGATGACAGTCGTTAGGCGATGGCACCCACAGCAAG